AAAATAATTTCGAAGAATAATTAAGTATTAAAAAAAATATATCTAATAAAATCAGTATATAAGAAAAGCAGTGATTTTTTCATAATAAAACTGAAAATATAAAATAATTCAAAATTTTTCATATTTCTTAATATTTTAAAAGAAAATAATTATTAAATGAACATGAAACAATATTTTTTAAAATCAAATCCACGTCGTTCTCCAAGGTGAGGTTGGCTTGAGCTCCATAGCCAGACTGTAGCGAAAAGGGAGAGCTCTCCAGGGGTCCGCCGCCATGGAGCCAAACAAGTACCGGCTTCAGCTTAGCGCCCGTTGAACTGATGGGGTCTGATATGTTTGCAAGAGCCTCCAAACTCTTGGTGTGGACATGAAGGCGGCGCAATCAATCTTCAAAGCTCTGCACTCCGTGGCTGAAGTGACTTCCTTGCAGGCACGCAGGCCCAGGCTACTGTACGAAGCGAGTTCAACTTTTAATAGTTTGAATGTGATATGTTAAACAGATTTCTGTGAGAGTCAGTGCTTGTGTCAGATGTACATGATCAACATCGATGTCATGGTCTCTTGCTAGCACATGTGATAGCCCATGTTGTTGATTATGCACACTTTGTCCGGCCCTGCTAGCATGATGCATTGCGTTGCTGTTCTTGCTTGCGCTTCATGCGATAGCAATGTTCTTGAAAAGGACAATTTGTCAGGCTTTGCTAGCATGATGCATCGCGTTGCCGTGAATGTCTTGAACATCGGCTTTCGATTTATTTTTGCCAGCACAGTGGTCAGCCTGTGCTTTGGTTGTTTGATCTCATGTTGTGCAGTTGTGGCGAAACCTTGCCCAAGGCGCGCCTTGCCCAAGCCTTCCTTCCAAGCCCCAAAATCAATTGATTTTTGTATTCTTTTCCTTAGTTCTGAATGAAAACTTCATAAACTTATTTTTTTCTTCATGATGTATTCGATGCGTATTAAAAATCTATTTCTAAAGATTTTTAAGCGTAAAAAAAAAGGTTCTTTCAGGATATTGAATTGTAATGGAAAATAATGAAATAAATTTTTATATATTGATTGCATTAAATTAGTAATAATTTTGTGTTTGGATATGATAGCAAATCATTGGATTTTGTTTTTTTCATATATATTTTTTTTAATTAAAATTTATGTTCTATTTCTCTGAAAAGATTTGATATATTATATTTTTTATATCTATTCAAGAGATTTGATATTTGATTTCAATATCATATTTTCGTCAATTCTATTGTTTGGCCGTATGGAAATCGGCAAATCAGAAAATATTTTGTAGATAATCATATTTTCGAATCGCCGATTAAAAAGACTACATATATATATTTATGTCATTTTTCAGTTTTGAAATATATTATCAAATAAAAACGCGCATTTAACATATATAAATCAAGAATCGGTACATCAAGTAATTTTTAATTTTTTCTTCTATCGGTTCCGTCATCTCAAAGAAGGTTCGAAAATGATAAGGTCAACAGAATATGAATCGGAATTATTATAACAAAAATGATATGAAAATGAAGGAGACCGGCCAAATAGTAAGAAATTCTATAACTAGACTCGAAGAAGCAACTTACAACGCTAGTCCTTTCCGACGGATGCCTATACGATTTGAATACATCATTTATTTTATTTCTCATCGGTTTCCAACCCATTAAATAATCGAAAATTTTGATTCGATTATTTTCATGATTATCGATCGCCCTTTTCACGATATATTTTAAAATAATTTCGAAGAATAATTAAGTTTTTAAAAAAATATATCTAATAAAATCAGTATATAAGAAAAGCAGCGATTTTTTCATAATAAAATCGAAAATATAAAATAATTCAATATTTTTCATATTTCTTAATATTTTAAAAGTAAATAATTATTAATTTAAATACGACAATATTTTTTTAATTTGAAATAATCAATTATCATTAAATTTGAAATTTGGTTTTCTTTAAATTGACAAGAATTTATTTTTAAATCATAATTTTTAATTTATTACGTAGTTATAGATACATATATATGATGTCGGTGGCGATCATAAATATCAAAGTTTTATTATAATTTTTATCGATAATTTTCTTTAGTTTTCATCATAAATTTTGTATCGACAAAGAAAAATATATCAATAATTTATTTTTCTCTTCTAACCCTTAATTCAATATTCATAACTAAATATAAATTTTTACCTTTAATAATATCCAAAATAAAATCTTATTATTGAGATTAAATAATATCTTAAAAATTTAAATCGAATTTATCGAATCAATAGAAGATTATAAGAAATCGGAATCATTTCAGAGTATTTGCAAACTCATATCGCAACTTAAATTAATCGATAACTACGATGTCGAGTCAATCCATACGACTACACGACAGATATAATATTATTATATAAAAAGCATTTTTCACGACATATATAACATATAATTTATACAAGCGTTCATTAAATTAATGAACATCGATAATATCCAATATTTTATCGAAATACAATGAAATAAAGGCTAGAATATAAAATAAATATGACCGAAAATATCGCAATACGAATCAAGATGGGAGGAGGGGGTGTGGGGAGTTGGGGTCGGAAGAGGGGAGAGGGTGAGGCGTACGAAGAGAGCGCAGATGGGAGGCGAGGCGGGGGATAAGAAGGGGTGTGGGAGCGTCGCACATTATATAACTAGGGAAAGATATGAAAGCTTTACGGCTTTAATTTCGATACAAACTCTAAGTCAAGGGTTAGAGTGTAGGACTTTAAGCTTTGAGATTAAGCCTTAGAGTTTGGGATTTTAGGCTTAGAGTTTAGGCTTTTCCTACTACGGAATGGCTCCCTAAGCACTAACACCTTATAATTTAGGCCAGTTTGCCTTTTTAGAATACGATACAAAATCATACTACACGAAGAATTCCAAGAGTTGTATATAGACATAAGATTCCGAAATTTTCGAAAGTTTCGTCTTATACAAGACGTCTGTCGAATTCTCACAATATCAAGAGTGTGAAAAGTTTCGTACGAAGGATTCGCCTTCAATTTCGATGCAGACAATAAAAGGTTTACGAACAATTTCAGAATCTTAAAATTTTCGTGCTCTCGTGCCACTGGCCGTCCGGCATAAATTCGAAACCGGAAGAAACACCCAATAATTGAGGAATAGAATTCTATTCAAGCCCAGAGGCTAGCAGAAAATATCTGCATGCAGTAATAATGTCATTTTTGAGTAATGTGCGGCTTCCCAGCCAATATTCGGGCGTAGGTTCCGAGCTGTTGGATGCCAGGCGGCAGCAAACGGCAAAGTGTATGTAGTCTAGGTATGCTGCACACGTGCGTGCAGTCACCTGGAGGAGCAAGCTGTCCCATGCTCCAGTAAGAGTCGGCAGCTGGTTCATGCAACTCTTCCAACCAAGGCTTAAACAGTAATAGAAAAGCTGGTCGCTGCCAAATTAACGAGACCGCGGCTGTCATAAAATCCAGACTGCAGCCAGAAATTGCATCGCGCGCCATTGTAACACTGTGTGTTCTCATCCTCTACCCCGAAGTCGATCACGTTGTACTCCTGGGGTTTCAGAAATGACAGCAATCAAACAGTCTTCTTCCTGAGAACCCCTGCCTGTATTCTTCTAATGTTGTAGCGCCTTAGCACCCTATATGACTCAAGCACGGCCAAGACGCAGACAGCAGTTCGCGGGACTTGTTGACATGCCCCTCATCTTGGCTTCTGTTCGTGGAAGTTGAGAATCGCTGCCAGGCCTGGACTTTTCCGGTCGCAACGAACTCGAGAATCCTGGCTCTTAGCCGTTGCCCCCATGCTCTGTCTTCTGCTGTGAAGTTGTACAAGAAATGAGGCTGCAACATGGCAAACTCATCCATTGCATGGAAAGCAAAGCGAGGGCAGTACAGCGGCTTCATCTTTGTAAAGTTTGCAATGACACAGAAGGGTCTGCTGAGATGTCTGGATGCAACATATGAGAACACGGGAGATGCACGCCTGGGGCGATGTGCATCCATGACCCCTGCAAGATAGAGATTGGGACAAATGGTAGTCATATCACTGAGGATTTCAGCATATGTCCGCTGTGGTTCCCAGTCGCTAGAGAGGTTGCCAGTGAGACCGTAAAGTCTTCCGAGCTCCTCCACAAACGCAGGCTCCTGAGACCTGCCAGCGTATCTTGCCAGGAGTTGCATCAGCTGGCTTCGAGTGAAGCGCCGAACATCTTGGCCGGGTGCAAAATCGCTTTCCTCGCGAGTGACACCGAGAATTGCAGGTACAGCTCCGTGCTTGGAGTCTTGAAAGGCTTGGAGATAGCCCCGTGGCAAGATGCCGCCATCACCATCAACAAGCAACAAAGGCGCATACTGCCAGGTAGGACTGAAAATCTCAAGCGACCAAACGTCCGCATGCCAATTGTCGGGCTGGGCTTGCAAAAGCTCCCCAGCAGACAGGTGCAGCAAACAGTCCAACAACTCTTTCTCCCTTCGTTTTCGAAAGCCGATCTCAGCGCAGCGACTTCGCTCCACAACCTCTCTGTGCCAATAATTGGCTGCTTCCACTGTCGTACTATTTAGCTTTGGCGATCCACTCATGCTTATACCCCTGTGGAAAAGACCTCAGGGATTGAGTACCCTGGCCCAAAAATCATCAACCTTACAAACCAAAAAAGATGTTGAACGTGACCTACTCAGCTACTACCCAGACCACCGGAAGGATCCAGAAGCAGATCCCCTAACTTGGGACCTTCTATTAAGGGCTCTACTTTTTGGATCCTTAAAGTGGATAAAGTTACCCTGAAACCGAAAAACCCCTAATTTGGGACCTCCACTTCTAAAGGAAAGCCCAAAAACCTAAAAACGCCCAAACCCCAGTGCTACGAGGCCTCTCGCGGCCGGAGACGCAAGTAGCGCCAGCACCAGGGATCCTCCAGAGCTCTGCCCCCAAACTGTGACCTGCTCCGGATCACCTGGCAGGGATCTTAAGATTTAGAAGTTTTCAGGGTTTAGGTTTAAGGGTTCAGGGGCTTTGGGATTAAGGGTCTGAAATGAGGGTTTAAAGCAATACCGAAAAGAAGGGTTCTTTCGAATCTGAAGAGGTATCACCCGGGCTAGGGGCCCTTCTCATAGGGAGGGCCACTCCTCACCTCCAAAGGCTCTGATGTTGCCTTGGATCCAACGAAGCGCCTCCAAGCAGTCCAGTAGGCCATAATTCCCAGAGGTGCCTCGCACGTCGTGGTGGGAGAGGGATGCCAAAGACAGGAACCCGGCTACTCCCAAACGGTACTGCACGGAGACGAGAACCACGTCGTTCTCCGAGGTGAGGTTGGCTTGAGCTCCATAGCCAGACTGTAGCGAAAAGGGAGAGCCCTCCAGGAGTCCGCCGCCATGGAGCCAAACAAGTACCGGCTTCAGCTTAGCGCCCGTTGAACTGATGGGGTCTGATATGTTTGCAAGCGCCTCCAAATTCTTGGTGTGGACATGAAGGCGCAAGCAATCTTCAGAGCTCTGCACTCCGTGGCTGAAGTGACTTCCTTGCAGGCACGCAGGCCCAGGCTTGCTGGCATCCAACTGGCCCTTCCAGCAGTCGGAACGTCTTCCGGGAGAGGTGCCGATGCCAACTGGAGGCTGCCACCTCCGAACTCCGATGGGGGGCAAGGCATACGGAATACCAAGAAAAGCCGCAGACGCCGACGCGGCATCGACGGTGCCTCGGAGGGCTCCACATGTCACTGCCGTCACTGGTGCCTCCTCTCTTGCCGTGACTCCGAAGGCAGCCGAGAGCCAGACCGCCACAATGATCAAACCTTGCACCATGTTTGAAGAAGCGATGTCAGGCCTGAAACTGGGACGAGCCGAAATTAACTTCTTGTAGTCTAGAACCACGCTTTGCCTTGCATCACTTGGACCTGGCGTTCCACCAGAACATGGCAAGACTGTCCGCGTGTCAAGCACAAGTCGTCCAACGTAAATCCTATCAGCTGAAACGTGGCTGCGATGTGCGCTTCCGGTCTATATTTGTACTACTATAATGTACAACGAAACCTTCTTCTAGTTATTCAAATTATTTTGGGTCCCCATATCAGAGTATCCTTATAAACCATGCAGAAACGACTTCCTCTTTTGCACTCTTGGGCAATTGGTCACCGCCCGCTGCAGGTATGGGTTTCCAATACACCCGCTATGTGTGCTATTTATACATCCATGACATTATCATAGGCTTTCCTCCAGCGGTATAATGGAAATATATGGCAATCTTTCTTGCCGTGGGGTTTGATGCGATGCACAACGGACACGCAGGGGGTGTCCGATAAAAAGGCACCATTCTGGAACATCTAGGCCCCCTTAAGGGGAATTATTGAGACAATCGGCGGGGCAAAAAAGCAAGGTCATTGTCACTTTCTTCGGTGACGTCCGGTGGCTTTGCCGGCTGGACAGGTAAAGGCGACAAGGGAAAATGAACCTTGCTCGAAGCTCTTGGCTCAGCTTCTACATCCACTCCTTCATCGGAATGATGCTCAAAGATGAATGGAGTTGCATTCCTTTGAAAGGGCTCGAATGGAGTTGTTGTCCTTTGGTAGGGCTCAACCTTCGGACTTGATATCTTCTCTTAGCCCAATCGGTGCTTCAATCCCTTCTACTTAAAATTGTAAAAGCTTGCCTGAACACTGCCAAGAAGCATAGTTGAGGTTGTAGTGCAAAGTCTCCTAGGCGGCCGCTTAGACCCAACTAAAAAAAATTATTGAACCGGCATCCCCTTCACCCGAAAGGGGAAAATCACAAATGTCCCAATGGCCTACCTAAACAAAAACCCCTAAATAATGCAAAGCATCGATGGTTGGTGTAAGGCCCCTAAACCGTAAATCCTAAACCCGGGATGATGCCAAGGTTCGATAGTCTGTGCAAGATCCCGCTTGAGTTGTGAAACTGTGCTTTGGAGCGCCTTCGTGGCCAGCAATGCGGCCACTGTGTCCTGGGTTTTAGAATTTCGAGAGGCTTTCGCAGTAGCAGAATGGGGTATCACGGTTTTGGGTCTTGGGGTTTTAGGGTTTCAGTATACGGTTTCGGGGTAGAATAGATATACGGACCCTTGGGTCATTCCTTTGGGGTTGACTTGAAAGGGCTCGGATGAGGCTCTAAAAGGGCTGGGTCTTGTCAGGCATGTGTTCTCGACACCTGCCGGCATCGGTAGAAAGAAACACGGAAAAAACACAGAAACTGAAGCAAAAACTCGCGGCGGGAGGTTAGTGTTCCGAGCAGCACTCTTGGTGAGGTCGCCGCGGATTTTCAACATGCCCTGGACCAGCTCTTGAACCTCGGTCGGGTTTCGGCATAGCTTCAGAGCACTGGGGGTACTTGAAGTGCCCTGGAAGCCGAAAGGGCAACTTTCGCGGCATGGCTGGGGGACATTTCACTGTCAAGGCACATCAAGTGCCCTAAACCCTTAGTCTCCAAAACCCAAGGAGCATGGAGGGTGCCGTTCCCGTCGGCATCGATGACTTCGAACCTGCAGAGGCTTTCGGGTGCAGCGTTGAAAATAATGGTCCTGAAAATTAATTGGAATGGGGTTTGGGGTATATTTTTAGCCTAAATACAATGCGCAACACTGAGGCACTGAGGAATGTTGATAATCATTCTAGACTCATATAACTTCTGTTCGAATCCTGACGAACGAACGGGACCTCGAACAAGATTCTCAAGACACAGAGGCAGGGACCCAGATTTTAGTCCATGCCCTGAAGCCAACTGAATCAATTCAGAAAGGTTCCCACCGGTTTTGAGGTTATTGGAGACAGACCAAGGGACATGTTGGCCCGGTCTGGTGGTAGATCAAGCTCATCCATGAGCTGCTGCACACCTCGCATTTCCGGAGAGTTGCAGCCATATGCCCTGAACCCTTGAAATTGTGGGTTGGAAACACAAGGCCATACGAACATGCACAAAAACCAGAAGCCACTAGCTGCTTGCGATAAGAACACCCTTTGCCAACCTCGGTTTTGAATGGCCAGGCCTCTATCTTGAATGACAACGAGAAAAAGCTCCTTGGAAATCTCGATTTGATCATGAACATCATCGTCCGTGAATACCCCGGCTCGGTTTGAGGTAAACTCCATGGAGGACATCATGTCCATGGCCGATGGTCCCTGATCAGCGTCGCTGAGTTCCCGGTATGCAGTAGCGAACCTCTTGAGAAGCTCGCGAGCACACCGGGCCACCCGAATGGACTCACGCGCATACTGCTCTGCGCTGTTTACGTCATTCTCTTTTGCAGCCCTCATGGTTATATCCACGTAGACAGCCAAAATCACGTTGAAGATGCCCATGGTGACCTTGTTCACTGAAACTCTTGAGCTAGAGACAATCGCGACAGCAACCGAGGCTGGGACCAGCATATAGCTTGCAACATAAGGGATTTGAAAGGCCAGCCCGAACTTGGTCGCGAGAGCATCGGTCATGGGATGTCCTGAAAAACAGTGGATTCCTTAATGCATTAGGACAGAAACCCAAACTTTGCTCCAGTCCTCGGCTGCTGACACACTCGCCCGTGAAGCATCTGAAGGCGGTAAACATCGAGGCAGGAATCGTTTGGAAGTGAGGCCAAAGTTCTCCATCCACTTCGAGCTGCCCGCCAAGGGCCATGGTGGCGAAGCCAGAGATGACGTAGAGGACGGCGAACAATAAAGTGAATGCGAGGACGAGGGTTCGTAGCCCTGCAATCCATCCCTTGACCATGAGGCGCAAATCTTTCATGATCTTTAGCCGGAAGACTTTGACAATTCTCGCCAGCCGAATAAGCCTTGTGAATCTCAGGAGACCGGTCCCAGCGATGTCACTGGCTTGCTGTGCAACAATCTGCAGCATCAAGTCGGTTCCTGAAGTCACTGCCAGGAAAAGGTCAAACCAATTCCAATATCTCTCCGGGCCACACCAATATGTATGACACCGCAGAAAATGCATTCGAAACAAAATCTCGAGGATGAGGAGGACAGCAAAGGCCGTCTCAAGGTAGATCCATCCCTGCGCAACATGAGAATCAGAGCTGCGCGTCCACTCGTTCGATCCGATCAGCCCTAAACCCTCCTGCTTTTGGGTAGTTCTCTAAATCAGGGTTCCCTTTTAAAAGGTCCCCCAAATAGTACGGCACCCTTATCAAAAGGATCCTCGTAAATCTGCCTCTGCAGTTTGGAACGTGGTGGGTGAAGCCGGGGGTGGAGGGTTGGCGGGGCAGGGGGGCAAGGGCTGATGACTACATGATGATCACGACATGAATATGACGGCGTGATGCTGCTGTGATGCTGATGATGACGGCATGACGCGCGACATGATGCTGCTACTGTGATGCTGATGATGGTGCTGACATGACGATCGCGCCATGCGGATGACGACATGATAACAATGGTAACATGATGATGGCGACATAACACGACATGTTTAAACAAGCTGAGGTGCCTTCATGTTCAGACCCAAGGCTTGAACCCGTCCAAAACTCTAACCCGAAACACCGTAAAAGACCAAGACATACCAGGACTGTCGGCATTCAGCGATTTAATCGAAGTGTACGAAGTGATACAAATACCATCTAATTCGCCTCCCTGCTGCGAATCCGGCATGAAACACAGGGTTTTCGTGATGTACTGAAGCACTACTCCGGACTCGCACAAGACAAAAAACCTAGAGTTTTTGCATGTTTTGTTTCAGTCTTCAACAGAAGAAACGCAGAACTCTGAACCGAAACACAATCAAAAACCGCGACAGTCGGGATTAATTGCTTTTATCGCGGTGTGCGAAATGATGCCAATACCAGGGAATTCGCTTCCCTGTTGCAAATTCACTGTGGAACCCACTCTGCACTCGCACAAGACAAAACCTTGCTTTGTAACATTTTCATGCGCGTACTTCCACGCCATAAGTACGTGGGACGGCGACATGTTCCGAATAACGTGGCTCTGTTGCGTAAGTGCACAATCCTCTATATATGCGGTGCTTTGGAGCTCTTACAACTCCAAGCACGCGGAATCTTCAAGTCAAGCTGGCTATGCTGTGCCTCCCATTCCTGGTAGTTGGGATCGGTCTGAAAGCCTATCCTCAGTTCCAAGTCAAGGTGAACGTTTTAAAACCAATTTGTGCATCTTGGAGCTTTACCTGGCCACTCTTTCGTCAAGAACTCCATGACCTAGTCCACACAACCGCTGCCTGAAACAAAGCCCAGTATCATGATCCCATTCGCCAGAATCATCAAGGCTACCTGCAGCAGGGGTCGCGGATTGCAACCAAGTGGACTGCAGACTAGGACTGTCAGGATTCCTAGGCCCTGCGAGATCGGAATCGAGTCACGAAGGGCTCAATGTACATCAACGGGTGCATGGCTTCCTTGGTTCTGGCAGGGGAATTTAACCTAAGTTACCATGATAGGGATCTATAGAAAAGAAAATAGTTTTCTTATTCTGGTAACTTAAGCTAACTAGGTTGGCCCCTCAAAGCATCTGAAAAATATTCGTAAATAAGGTGCTCTTAAACTCACCAAAGGAAAACGTGAAATGTCCCAAAGGCCTATCCAGTTAAGTTCCTCAGCCAAGCTTCTGGAGGGGCGGCCAGGTCGTTGATCCTGACGAATGTCAACTCAGCGACGAGGCCTCGTGAGAAGTTGGGATTATTTTGGTCTGGGGTTTTATGTAGGGGCCTTAATAATTAGAATGGGATTTTGGAGTCCACTAAATAATAGTTATGAGAAGGAACCACCAAATAGTATTCCCAGACCACCGGAAGGATCTAAAATGTAGATCCTCTAATTCGGGACCCTATACTACTGAGGGGTACTTTGTTGTGATAAGGAACCACCCAAAACAGTATTGGTAATTCAGCCCAGATTCGGTTTGCATCGCTGGCCAGTAAGATCTCCCTCATGGCTTTGAACCTTTTGGGTATAGGGTTGAGGATTTAGGGGTTCAAGGTTTAATGCTCCCAGTATGCCTTTTCAGAAGGGTTTAGGAGTATAGGTTTTGTTGCTATTCTTAAGAAGGGGGAAACCGTGAATGAACATGGCAAAAGGGTACCATAGAGGAGACCAGGAGCTGTTGCAGCAGCGCGCTTGTATGAAACACCTTTCCTGGGTTGTAGTTTTTGGGGCTCTTAAAAGTATTTAAGGAACAGGTAGCTTTGTAGGAACCATACAAGGAAATTGAAAAAATCCCAAAGTGTTACGTAGTTTCGATGAACTTGCCCTTCTTCAGCAAGGAAGAGCTCCATCAAGGCTTGTGCGGGAACCACATTCTGCTCCAGTCGGGCATCCAGTGGGATATCCTTGGTTCTTCTTCAGGAACATAAGTTAAGTTGCCCTGATAGGGATCTATAGTAGATAGTAAGGATTCCTTGTTGTGGGTAGGTTAGATGAAGCTCCTTAACAAGAGCCCAGTATCATGACAAGGGGATGTGGCGTCCTTCGGGGGCCACTTCCAAAGAGGCTGCACACCGATGAAATCCACGTCGTCCTGGAGCTTTGGCTTTAGATCACGGACGGCCGAAGCTCTGAACGCCTCAAATCCCGCGAATGCCCACTGCTCTCCGGAAACTAGATTGTGAATTCGCCAAGCCCTCACATTAGCATGTGATGTGGGGCAAAGTTTATACGACCTGCCCCGCGCTCCAGCAGGCTCATGCCATGCTCCCACACTGAACATCACCACCAGGATTTGCAAGGTCCGGGGCCCTTGTCTATGGGCTTCCATTTGGCGAAACATACACAAAACGAACTGACACCGAATTTCGACGAAGCGCAAAAGATTGTGGTGGAGTCTGTGAAGCTGAACAAGTTCTCTTCTACAGAAAGAGCTTTTCAGATTTACCGCCTCATGTTGCAAAGTCAAGCTGGGAACCGCGACCCCAGAGTCTGGGCTTGTGTCTTCGAACTTAATTTGTTCAAGAACCTAACTAACTTACCAGAAAAAGGAAACAATGCTATCTGCTGTAAATCCTGATGATGGTAACCTACATTAGATTCCTCAAGAGCCCAGGGGTTTTGGTTGGCGCTCCGAGGTCCTGAAACTTGACCTTCGTGAATGACGCGGTACTCATGTCCTGGTCAGGCCGTGTTCTCAAAAGAGGGCGACATATTAGGGTTTAGGGTTTAGGGAACGGTTTAGGGTTTAGGGTTTAGGGCGACATGTCGTGCGAAGATGAATTCATGTCCCTTCCTTGAAGTATAGCCCAATGTAGGATGCCAGCTCATTCACAAGGTCGTTCATGTCCTGCTCGGCGAAAACATGGAAGTGGACTACACTGACAATTTAGGACTTCCAGGATAGTTCTGACAGTTCTGGTCTAATTTAACTTCCGCCTCGACGCCATATCTCGTAAGGCCAAGTGCAACGACGGCATCATGAAGAGACTTCCCAGACACAAGCTGCTGATGAGGCAAAACTCCCAGTCGTATCCGCAGACGTTGGCCTTAGCGCAGACACGGGTTTCGTTGTCGGGCTTGGAGTTGCAGACGGAAGTTTGGGGTCCTAGTCCGCATTGAAGGCTCTTTAGCTTCCGTTTTCAGCGTGGCTATGCGCAAGTTCAGGTTCTTCACGATGGACTCTCGGACACTCGATCTCACGTCATGTGATTCAACCCCCGGCCGTGAATGCCAAAGCAAGGATCTTCAGCTGCTCGTGGCCGAGGGACTCGTGGCCAAGGCTTCCGAAGGCGCCATGTTCTTCAATGCGGAGCGGAGCATGGCGCTGGTTGTAGAAGCAGTCACAATCTGCAGGCAAGGGATATGCAGGCGGATTCTTCAGGGCTAGCAGGGTTTTAAGGTCTGCAGATTTTGGCAGCTTCATAACTTTTCAGATGAACCTCGGCGATTTCGGGCTTGAGGAGATGGATGTGGCATCTTAACAGAAATTCTTGTGGTGCGAGGGCCCGGGGAATGTTGAGATGCCTCCGCGTCGATCACGCTCATGTTGTCATCATCAGGTAGGCGTTTCGATTTCAGAGACCTCCGCCATTCATGTTGCATTTGACTTGCATGTTGACATGGGCTCCGAGCATATCTGCTGCAAAGTAACGACTGGTGGCTCATGGCTGGTCCAGGACTTGTGTCATCGAAGTCAGGGTGTACTCGCGCGGCAACCTGGCGAAACTGACCCGAGGGTGCAATTGCGCAGGGACACCCGTTTTAGGCACTTCCGGGCGTTGGTGCCGATGATTCTGCAAGCAGGTCGTGCCTGAGTCTGAGGGGAACCAGCCTGCAGCTCCCTGCCCGACCCTGGCGTTCTCAAGCCGGCGACTTGTTCTGGGTACGCTGCGATCGCCTGACGACAACAGGACATTGAAGGCGCAGTAAGTTTTGACATGCCAGGTCATTGCTCAAGCACTTCCCAGGCCTGCCGTCGAAAGTCATTCCAACACTGGTCCAGCAACTGGGCGAACTGTTCTCTGTCCATGGCTCTGGCGGATGAAGCGTGAGATCGCTGAAGCTTCGAGATTCATGAATTGCACATCTTTACTGCCTTGCTTGCTGCTTCAAACGTTAGCCGTTAGAAGCCATCAACCTCAGCCTCTCAGCTCTCCTCTCAAGCCGGACATTGGCTTCGGTCATGGATATGCATAGTTTCCCCCTGGCCTGGCAGGGACAGCTGCTCTTTATGCTGCAAGTTGAGGCCGCTATCAAGACTCGCATGACGCGCTTTTTCAAGGCCGGGCTTAGAGAACGACGCTGCTCTGACGTTTCCGATCTGACTCCTGATGAGCGGCAGGGAACGTCGCTTAGGACCTGACATGCCTCAGCACAGCCTTATCATTATGATTATTACAATTACTAGTGTTATTGTTGTTGTCCTAACGGCTCATATTGTAACATCTGATATTCTTAAAACCATTTTTGCATACATTATTGTTCTTAGTACTAGTTGTAATGTGCGGTAATGTTATTTTTTTAAACTTGTTCTGGGTTATGATTACGTTTGTTGTTGCTGCCACTGCCACTACCACTACCAGTACTACTACTACTACTACTACCACTACTACTACTACTACTACTACTACTGCTACTACTACTGACAAACCACCAGCACCAGCACCAGGACCAGCACCGGCACCGGCACCCGCACCCGCA